CTCTCTCTCTCTCTCTCTCTCTCTCTCTCTCTCTCTCTCTCTCTCTCTCTCCCCTCTCCCTCCTCCTCCCTCTCTCTCAAAGATGTACAAACACACAGAGACACTCACCTGAGGTTCTGTCCTCCCTCCCCACAGTTATAGTCCAGTTGTCCCGCCAGACCATTCACAAAGTCCTTGAGATGTGCATGCTCCAGAGCCTCCCACACTTCCGAGTCCATGTGCTGCTCCGAGGGGTCAAGGTTCATGCGGATTGTCCCAGAGAAGATCACAGGGTCCTGAGGAAAACAGAGATTTCGCATTTAAAGGGAGGTGTGTGTGTGGGGGGGGGGGGGGGGGGGGTGGTTTATAAACATATTTCGGTAACTATGGCCTTTTTAGATAAAGCCTTATAGCAAGGAGGTATAACAGGAAAACATCTGTAAAATGTAACTTTAATTTTTTGGTTTAAGTCTACGGTTGCCATGGTAACGGCCGCCATATTGAAAAAAAACCCAGCTTTCCTAAAAGTAAAAAGGATTTTTATTTACCAACCTTCAAATTTGGCACATTGATAGATATACTCAATACAAAATTTTGTACCGTTGGGATTTTGGATATCTTGAATAGTTAAAAAGTTACAGATGGATAACTGACCTACCCCTTCATGCCTCTGAATTCGATTACATATTCATCCATGTAACTCACTCATGAATGCATCGATTTTATTTTCCACCTGATTAAAGTTAGGTTAGGGTATGAATAACAAGCCCTGGAAATTTCATTGGAATAAAAAAAGAAAATAAAGTAGATGAGAAAAAACATAAAAAATTGACGTTTTTAGAAAAAACGACATTTTGTTACATAATAGGCAAAATGAAAGTTTTAGCACAGAAAATCTGAAAGATGACGATTGTAACACAAAGAGTAATCATTTTTTAGATTTACAAGTGATTGGAGTATTATAATACGTAAAAAGTCCAGATACCATAAATTGACAGACAATCGTAAATTTACCCCCCCCCCCCCCCCCCTTTAAGTTATAGTGATGGAGGTGACAGGAGTGCGTAATAATCTACACCATGAAATCACAACAGTTATGTTGAATGAGTAAATAAACATACATATACATCTGATGCAAGAAGATAAGGTTGAAGTTTGAAGGCAATGTCTTTTGTCGACCTCACAGGGCAAACTGTACAAAACACTCTAATCTATAATAATAATTTTATAATAATAATAAATCAATAATAATAATAGATATAATGATAATAATATCATACCCGATTATCAAATCAACCTGACCCGACCCGACCCGACCCGACCCGACCCGATCGCGCAAGTAGGCATCCCCTAAAATGCTGCGAGTCGGACGATCGGTTTCTGCCACGATGGCCGCCTTGCGCCCTCATCCTGGCTAGCCCCGCCTACCAAACCGAACAGAAACGAACCGAACCGATCGTGCCAATGGGCACCTCCACAGCCCGATCCGACCAGACCCGATCCGACCCGACTAGACTCGATCTGCAAGGGTATCCGGTATTACCTGGGGAAGAATTGTGATGCGAGAGCGGAGGTCATGTAAGCCTAGTGAGGCGATGTCATGACCGTCCATGAGGACCTTGCCAGCTGCAGCCTCCACCAGTCGGAACAGGGCCACAGTCAGAGAAGACTTTCCTGCCCCGGTCCGACCCACGATTCCCACCTGAGACAAAGACATAAAAAAATATTGAGGCAACTGTGAAATCAGGCGCTCGTCAACTATAGTGTACATGGGGTTATTGGTTTAATCTTAAACGGCATGCCCACTACGGCTGGATCGGACCGATCGCCCGACTTGGTCGCCTGAAACTGAAAACAAACACGTTTGTTTTTGAGGCCACCGAGTCAGGCGATTGGCCCGATCGGTCGATCCCATCCGTAGTGGGCACCCTGTTTTAAATCTTGTTTGTTTCTCTTGCTTTTGATGTAAAAAAAACAACAACCCATCTATCGTGAATAGAAGTCGAGATATTTTCAACTGAAGGAGATCGGGAAGCGGGGAGGGGGGGGGGGGGGGGGGGGGG